GTAATTGTAGTAAATATATGTAAGTATTTTGTTTTCTGTACATTAAAGAAGGTAAATGATCCTAAGCACACTATAAACACAGCCTGTAAATTAAGAAATAAAACATACATCTTTTCTTTCATGTAATAAATTTATTTGATTTATGATATAATGTACCTTTATTGAATTTACATTGACATATTTTAAACATAGTATATTGTTTTAGTGTAAATTGTATAAATATTATCTCCGCCTGGTTTATTGTTATTGTTTTAGTGTTAAATGTATTAGTTGTCTCCTCCTGGTTTTATTTATATTGTTAAAGTGTTAAATGTAATAGTTATCTCCTCCTGGTTTTATCTATAGTGCTTTTAGAGTTAAACATATTAGATATCTCCTCCTGATTTAATTGATATTACTTTAGTGTTAAATGTATTAGTTGTCTCCTCCTGATTTTATTGATATTGTTTTAGCGTTAAATGTATTGTTGTCTCCTACTGATTTTATTTATATTGTTTTAGTGTTAAATGTATTAGTTATGCCCTCCTGATTTTATTTATATTGTTTTAGTGTTAAATGTCTAAGTTATCCTCCTCCTGGTTTTATTGATACTGCTTTTAGAGCTAAGCATATTAGTTACATCCTCCTGTTTTTATTGGTATTGTTTTAGTGTTAATTTATTTATGTTGTTTTAGTAAAATGTATCACGTTAGTTAATTCTTCCTTATTTTATTTATCTTTTTGCTAAATGTATGAATGATAACCCCTCCTGATTTAAACAGCACTTTATGTATGTGATCTCATTTCAGAATCACACAAAGATATATCTTCTATATATAGCGATATGATATAATGCAATAGACCATTTTCATATTACCGACTTTTGACTTTAATAATTTTTCGACAGGTTACCTACTCTGTGGAAGGACAACATAGTGCCTGGTTAAGTAAGAGCAACCAAAAGAAATAAAATTAAACAGATCATCGGTGCAATTTGGGGGAAGTTTTCTGTTTTCCGATGATTTTGTCTTGTATAAAAAAAAAACATAACATAACAGTTTACTTCCCCCCAAATTGTACCAATTGTAAACTTGATTTTACTTCTCTAAGTTGCTTTTGTCTGACAGAGTACCGGGATTTCCTAGGTACCTACATATGGATTATTTATCTCCCAGTTGATACAATATTCCAGAGCTTGTGTTTCCTATTATGATTCCCTTGATAGAGGGTTGCTGCTGACACGGAGGCTAGTAAACCAAGAATTCCGAGTAGTGAAGTCAAAATCATCTCTTCGAAAATTTTACCGACGCCATCATGAGTTGGTTGACTGTTGCGGAATATCTGTTTCACAGATCACGACGGATATGTTCCAATCGTCGTTACCTCAATCCTGCCGTCCTTTTCCACGGACATAACCTACCAAATTTGACTTATAACCGTGATTGTACTTACATGAGCAACACGACACGGGTACCACACGAGGAGCATGATCTGCTTACCCTTCTGGAGCATCCGAGATTAAATCCGGAATTTTAGTGTGGTTCGTGTTGCTCAGTCTTTAGTTTTCTATGCTGTGTTTTTCACACTGTTGTTTGTCTGTTGTATGTCTTTTTGGTCTTTTTCTCTTTTGTTTGCCATGGCGTTATCAGTTTATTTTCGACTTATGAGTTTGAATGTCCCTTGGTATCTTTCACATCTCTTTTATCTTCATAAACGAAACCTCAAAGATAGTTTGGGAGTATGAAGGAACCAACCAGTCTGTCCATTTGTTATTTTCAGTCCGTCTGTTTATCTGCCCGGACCTATTTTTTTTTAATAACTTCAAACTTTGTTGAATAATTGGTCATGATATGCAATCATGCATATTTTAGGATCTTTTATCATTTTAGTATATCCAGAACTAAGTATTTATCTTTCGCTTTAAAAATGTTGACGTTTTTCGAACCGACCTTGTTATCGCAACTCCTCCTACAAGGTTTATCGTATGTATATGACACTTAGTACATTTCTAGATCCAGATATGCAGTAGTACATGAAAGTATTATGTTTTGCGCATTGACGTTTTAAAAGTTATGCCCTTTCAATGTAGAAAAGTTCGCCCTGTCCAGCAACTACCTTGTCATCGCACCTTCAATATTTTTTATATAATCTACGCGAAACTTAACTTGTTATATAGTAAAATCCTTACAGGCAGATGTGCATGTTGGTATGATATCACCGTCCATTGCGTTTTTCACATTTATGTCATTTTCATTTTCGTTATTTTAGCCCTTCTGAGTACCCTCCTTGCGATAGCAATTTCTACATGTTTTATCGTTTCTTCACGAAAGTTGTTTTATGATTAGATCTTCATCTACAGATGTACATGAGGGTAGGGGTATGAATTTTTCCAGAATTAAGCCTATTTCACCTTACAATTTTTTACTCTTTCAGAGCCAACCATGTCATTGCAACTCATCCCACATGGTTTATAAATTATCTTCATAATATAAAATAGATTGTTAAATTCGTATATGAAGATATGCTTGTGGGTTGGATGTTCTAATTGAGATTTATATTTTTCTTATTGTTCGATCCTTATATAAAAATATGCATGTTGGTAGGAATTAAGCACTGTTTTTATCTAGAATTATAACCATTTCACATTAGACATATTGACCATTGTCAGAACCTACCTAACTTGTCATAGCGAATCATACTACATGGTTTATCGTATTTACATGAAACTAAGAAAGTTGTTATATCCTGATATGAAGATGTGCATGTTAGCATGATGCTCTTGTCCTTTGAGATTGCACACAGACATGCCTTTTTATCTTAGATAATAATGGCCCTGTTCAACACCTCTCTCTTCATTGCATTTTCTAATTCGCGGTTTATCATATCTGCCTGTAAGTTTTTACATGGTTAGATCCCAAAATACAGGTTAAAATAGGATACTCTTACCCATTGATTTTTTATTATAGAAATTTACCATGGAGTTTTACACATTTTTGGCTTTGTTCAGCTCATACCTTGTCATCGCGATTGCTAAAAGATGGTTTATTATATCTTTTGTGAAACTATTGTATATTGTTATAAAACGATCTGCAAATATGCATGTATGTAGGATGTACATTCACCAGAGACAACATATTTTACAACACAAGAAAACTATCTCAATTAAGTTATTAACTTTTTTAATTTTCTGTATTTTATAAGTTAATCCAAGATATGGGGGCATTTGTCTACCTTAGCGGACAGGGTTACGTTATACGTCCCCTTATATTATACTTCATTTTATACTTACAAGGACCTAGTGTAAAATAATTTGTCGTGTGTGTGTGTTATTATGATTATTTTTCATTTTTCTTAATGTTGGAAATTGAATGCGAAGTTTAAAAGCGCAATATCATAAATATTTGACTGATATATAGAAAGTAATGTAGGAATCGAATTAATTGACACAAAGAGCAATCTGCGCATCATTGTGTTTATAAACAAGCACATTAAATGAATAAATCACCTCCTTTTCTAGAGGTAGAACACTACGATACATAAAATGGGTTGGTTTAGAAATTATTTGCTATATTTCTATAGGAGATAGACCGTAGATTTTTTAATTCAGGAATATCCCCAACTCTGTAATGTAATCATAATTTGAGTTCTTAGCATACTTTGTAGTAATTTTGATAACATTTCTTTCAAAACAAATAAATAGGAAAATATTGGAGATACAGCATTAAAAAATATGTTTCTCTAAACTTCCGTTGTCCCGCTAGATGATTAAGATTATTATCACAGATTAATGTGAAGTGTGAGGATAGAACAGTATAATACAATTGAGAATAGAAATGGGGAATGTGTCATAGAGACAACAACCCGACCGAAGAGCAGAAAACAGCCGAAGGCCACCAATGGGTCTTCAACACTGCGAGAAAATCCCGCACCCGGAGGCGGGCTTCAGCTGGCCCCTAAACAAAAATAAGTACTAGTCCAGTGAAAATGGACGTCTTACTTAACTCCAAAACATATAAATGAATTAAAATTAAAAAACATAAAATAAAATTAAGTCTGACAAAAACTCGTAGAATGTAGAAATCTCGTACTATTGTTGTACAGGGAGATAAACCATTGCACCTGGATCCCCAAATATAAAGTTTTCTCCATTTTTAGAAAAAGTGAACATAGCACACTACAATACTCACACGACGAATTATAGAATTGTTGACTCTCCTCCATTTACCATCCCTTTAATATAAAAAAATGTTAGCTAACTTTTGAAAAATACAGTTGATTTGTTTTCGTAACGACCAAGCGTATTGTTTTAAAGTTTCGTGTTTGATTTTTTTTAAACGTTATATTTTCATTTTCCTTATTATGAGGAAGACGAAAAGTACAGCATAATAACCAAAGAATTTTCATGTTTTTCTGTGATTTTATTAGATTTCTTAACATTTCCATCTCTATCATATAACGGGAGTTCAAAATAATAACACAGTTTGTTTTTTTTAAAAGTTCATTATATTTTTCTTTCAAAAACAGTTAGATGAATGAAATATCCTAATATCATGTCATAAAATGGACTAACTAATGAAAAAAAATATCAAAGAATCTATAAACGTTGTGTATTACAAATTGTTCGACTGGAAATAAAGCCCGGTCAAAACAGTTTGTTCTTTGTGACCATTGCACTCACTTCAAAATCGAAATCCATATTTATAGAAAAAGGATAAAATGTAATGATATTAATATGAATAAAGCAAAACTCTTAAATGTGATCAAATATGAAAATTTCTTTAGGAATAGATTAACAATATATATCTTTTCGTATAAATTTGCATAGCCATTAAGACGGAAAATTCGTATATACAGATATACAGACGATTGTGCGTTCAAGTGGTAAGTTGAAAAGTTGCTACCGTGTAAAATTTAAATGACATTTAAAAAATTAAAATAACAATTTTCTACTGATTACCTACGTGTATTGATATAGGTATCAATTTCTATAAATATTTCAAATGAACTTCCTTATTATATTATCCGGGTCAACAAACAGGGGAACATGGTTCATGTTCGGAATGATTTGATAGTGTGTTTACTGTTGAAATTATTCAAACTTTCGATAGTATGGTCAGGTGAGTGTTTTTTCATTCACTATTAAAATTATTCAAACTTTCGATAGGAAGGTCACGCAATTGATTAAACATTTACACTTGAAATTATTCAAACTTTCGATAGTGAGGTCAGGTGAGTGTTTAAACATTCACTATTAAAATTATTGAAACTTTCGATAGGAAGGTCACGCAATTGATTAAACATTTACACTTGAAATTATTCAAACTTTCGATAAGATGTTCATGTTAGAATTCAAATGTTTCTCAGACATTCTATAAACGTACGATAAAAAGATCAGGGGCCTGTTTATCGAAACTGTCCTAAGATCAGTCCTAAGAATTTCTTAGGACAGAAATTAGAATAAAGTTAGGACCGACTTACGACATGTCTCAGCATGCACATCGAAGCTATCTTAGGATTATCTTAGCTAGGATGTCATAACCGCTGTCTTAAGAATTGGCGTAAAAGAAAATAACAAATTAAAAATGAAAAAATGAAAATATTGTATCAAATTTAACCAATAACTATAATTTTAAAAAAAGATAAATAATTAGAAAATAATTATTAGTTTTAAATTAAAGGTGATAAATACTGTTTATATCATAATTGTACATTTAAACTCATAAAACAAAACATAAGTAAAAAATATAACTACGTTTTATATAAGAATTGAAACATACGAATTGTAAATAGTTAAAATAAAAATAAATAATCGGTAAAATCATTATATGCTTTGAGTGAGCTGAATTCGAAGTGTCACGGTTTCATTCTTAAAAGTTCAAAGGCAAATCTCGTGCATTCTGAGTACTTCAACTATTTTATTATTTCAAAATAATAAATTGGTAAATTGTCAAATGTTTCAACAAACGTTGCTGAAAAGAGGGATAGGGATTTAATATACATCAAGGGAACTACCATTTGATTTTGATTGATGGGGGGACTAGGATGAAATTTGAAAAAAGACAGGACAGGAGTAAAATAAAAGGCAGGATGAGCAACTTTGCAAAAAAAAGGCAGGATGAGCAATTTTGCGAAAAAAAAGCAGGATGACAATTTACATGTATGTAAAAAGAGGTCAGGATAAACTAATAAGGACCAAATAGAGTGAAAAATAAAAAGGAAGGACAGAGATTACAACAACAAAAAAAGCAGATCAACATTTTTCATCCTAGGCCCACCCCCGTCATAAAAATAAATGGTAGTTCCCTAAAGTTCCCTAAAGTAAATGCAACCAATACAGGCCATATTTGTTTATAAAAAAAAAACATCCTAAATATATCCTAAAGTTAGGACCATCCTAAGACACCTAAATTTATATCCTAAAGTTAGGACAATTCCTAGGATTTTCCTAAGTTACGACATGTTTGATAAACCCACTTAGGACTAAGATATGTCCTAAGTTGGTCTTAGGACACGTCCTAATCCTAAGACTGCTTCGATAAACAGGCCCCAGATTAACTCTCAAACTTTCGCTTTTTCGCACTTTGAAATTATATCTAACTTTTTTTTTAAAAATCCACTACATAATTTACAACCACAAAATGTTGAACATTCGTCTTACAATGTACTATTATAGTCAGAATTATATTGTACGTGTTGTCCTGTTTATCATCCTTTTTTATATAGGGAAAGCGATGTAGCATAAAATGTATCCGAAGCTTCATCCAATGATTTTTTTTTAATTTTAACAAGATTTCTGACGACTTGCTTTGTGAAGAAATATAGCATATACAATGTTCAACTTTTCAGATGAAGTTGAGGCTTCAGTCCGAGTGAAAATATTGTCAGCAATTTAGAAATGAAAACCATAAGAACGAATTTCTGATACTAGTTACTGCTGTCAAGCTTACAATATTAAAATGTAGATATTAACAACCCATTTTCACTGGGCATATTGAATGATTTCGGTTTTATATTGATAGAAATTGCTTAATTCTAAAACTTGCTTCTTCCGGCATTAAGCAAATAACATTTTAAACATATTATGTGTTAATTAACCATGTTAACTATGTGCACAATATGATTGGGATATTGCGATGCTGTTCTTAAACTATTTACACTGACAAACTAGTTTTTAACCCTTTGGTTAACTATAAACAAAACTGAATTTGCAAATATAAATAGACATTTATGATACTGTTTCAGACGTTTGAAATGGTATTGGACAAAAAATGATAAATGAAGACATTTTGATTTTTCTTTTTTTTTCATTTTTATTATCAAGACATCAGTTTCATTAAACATATTAAATATTTCTATATTTTATATTTGTATACTTTTCCAAATAATTTTACAAAAATGAACAAGTTGAAACATTAGCCCATTTCAATTGCTATATATCAAGGCTAATAGATAAACAAATATCGTGCTTAAACATATTCAGTTTACACTAATTTGTATGTGCATGCATACCTGCTACTATACAGCTACAGTGGCAAAGGTATACAAGTACACATAATAATGCCTCCTTCTCTACTGTGATCAGTGTATGCAAGTAGGTTTATTCATACCTTGTTCTTTGCCGTGGTCAATCTATACAAGAGAGGTGAAAGATACCAAAGGGACAATCAAACTCATCAAATTAAACAAACAACACCATGACAAAAAAAAAAGACAAAAAAAACAAAACACAAACAACTTTTCACAAAGCACAACAAATAAAACTAAAGACTGGGCAACACGAACTCCACTAAAAACAGGGAGCAATTTCAGGTACTACGGAAGGGTACGCAGATCATGCTCTCTATGTGGCACCCTCCGTGGTGCTCATGTAAGTACAAACCCGTAGATAAGTCTAATTCGGTAGGTCATATTTGGGGGAAAGAGGACGGGATTGTGCTTTCGACAATTGGAACATATCCATCGTCATCTGTGAAACAGATATTCCATAACGGTTAACCAACTCGAGATGGCGTTCGTAAAGTATACGAATGGATTATTTCAATTTCATCACTTGGAACTTTTGGTTTAATACCTTCCTTGTGAGCAGCAACAAACAATCAAATGAATTAGTAATTGCACATAAATATTTTTCTGGATCGTTGTCAATGCATATACGCACAATGTAAATGTATCTATTATTATATTGTGGTTAGTGCATGCAAGGAAGTGTACTCCTGCCATTTTTCTTAAAAGTGTCAGTATATACAAGTTCCTGTTCTCATGCCTGATCAGTGTATATAAGTATATAGTGTACTTCTGCTTAGTTTTGTATGCCATGGTTAGCGCATATAATACAGTTATTAGTCTTCCTTTCTTGTCGGCAATCTACAGACTAAAAAATTGTGAATATCAATGTTTGTACAAATAGTTAACATAACAAGAAAATGATCCCTCCTGATTTAAAGGATCATCCTTTAATCAAAGGTCTAAATCGAAATTTGTCACCACAGTTTGTTTTTTTAACGATAATGCTTATTTCATTTTAGAGATTATATTTTATCCGATGTTTTCACGCAGACCGGTCTAACTCAAGGTTTAAACACAATGACAAGAAGTATTTAGTTAAAAAATTTAATTTATATTTTAAATATCCGAAAACATATCAATTATTTATATTGCTAGTAACAAGATCGATTTTTAAGTAAAATAAATTTAGTAAATTTCATATCATGACGAGATGCAATATAATATAAAAACAAAGGATATGGGGTATCAATCCATGACACAAAATCAGTACATGCACAGCAAAAACACACAAAAAGCAAAGAAACAGCGCTTTTATTGCTGTTCCTAATCTTAAAGTCACAGTGAGATCTTCAACACGGAGCCAAAGAAACTCTCATCTCACTCAAGTTCAAGACGACCCCTAGCACCGGTTTGAGCGGAATTCTTTGAAAAATGATTCGGATAGACTTTGTTAGAAGTATCTTGATTACAAATAGTTTATTTGATATAATCTTACTGTAACTGACTATAAATTTGTTTTCAGAATTTACAACTATCGTTCACATTATTCCGGGGGATGAAGTATTTCTAAATTGTTCCGAAACCTCATCTATAACAATAAGAAATGTAAGCGTGCAGAATATAGGCAAATGTGAAAGTAATCAGTGTTACCTCACAGGTCATGATCTTGATATGATAAAAGGATGTGAAGGTTCTTCCGGCTGCTATGTGAATGGATCTCTTTTGACGTCTACGTGCTTAAGGGAGGATCGGCATTTCAACATTTCGTTTATATGTCTACCTGAAGGTGAATATTGATTCAATGCGTATGAAAATTATGTGAGATCATTGAAATACAAGAAAAACAATTTGAAACTTGAACAGCAAGATTTGAATTTAATAATTTTCATTATTTAAAATATTAGCAGTTATTAGTTTTCAGCCGATGAGATCTATGACAAAAATGATATGAAATAACAGGTTTTTTTTCCTTAAAGTACTTAATTTCAAAAAAGGTGATGTCATGTGAGTGTCAATGAGGCAGCTATCCCACAGAGTTGAAATGACGAAGTTAAACGTTTAGAAGTTCGCTCAATATCTCTAATACACTTCAAACTAAGGTATTCAAAAGGTATTGATAAATTGCCACTTTGCCTCATAATCTTATTAAGAAAAAATTCACACAACTGATTAAAAGGGGCATTTAAAAAGTCGGAATGCGAATATATATGTTCAAACTCTTTAGGTCATTTTTTAGTAACAACAAACAAAAGAACTATGTCAATTGGACCTGCTTTGATACTATAACTGCCCTTGAATTTTTACTAGATAACATTTTTGTTCGCTATGGAGATTCCGTATATCGTCAGGTTATCGGAATTCCCACGGGGACTAACTGTGCACCACTTATTGCGGACCTGTTTCTGTATTGTTATGAGTTACAATTTATGACTAAAATCAGCAAAGACCCATCAAAACAACATCTGATTCAAAAATTTAATAACACTTTTAGATATTTAGATGATATATTGGCTCTCAATAATGATGACTTCAGTATGTACACTAAAGAGATTTATCCTGCCGAACTGACTTTAAATAAAGCTAATACTAAAAACGAACACTGCCCTTTCCTGAATCTTGATATCTATATCTTTAACGGGAAGCTTAATACCAAAATCTATGATAAAAAAGATGATTTTTCTTTCCTATTGTTAATTATCCATTTTTAGATGGTAACGTTCTCTTGTCACCGTCTTTTGGTGTTTATATATATCAACTTGTTCGATTCGTTCGTGTATGTAACAACGTATTTGATTTCAACGAAAGAAATCTCTGTATTACTGAAAATTATTACACCAGGGTTTTCGATATCATAAACTAGTCAAAACATTTACTAAATTTTATCATCGGTACAAGGACATCATTCGTAAATATAAATCAACATGCAGACATCTTATACGTTCAGGTATTTCACATCCCATATTTCATGGTAATATTCTTTACAAAGCACAAAAATGTCGGCATTCACCTCAAAAGCTAACCAAACCTTTAAACAGACTTATTTGGAAAGGATATAGTTACGATACTGTTGTCAAGTCATTAAGGATTGCATATTTATGTATTAATATTGATTCACGCATAGGGTCTTTGCATCGGAAATAAACACATTTATTCTAAAACCAGTTGTTAACATGATACGGGTTATGTTTCCGACATCGGACTCTGACTTCTTTTAAACTGAGTTTTACTGTGTGTATTACTATGTGTTTCTTTATTCTACATTGGCTAGAGGTATAGGGGGAGGGTTGAGATCTCACAAAACATGTTTAACCCCGCCGCATTTTTGCTTTTGTGCCTGTCCCAAGTCAGGAGCCTCTGGCCTTTGTTGGTCTTGTATGTTTTTAATTTTAGTTCATTTGTATGTTTTGGAGTTTAGTGTGACGTCCATTTTCACTGAACTAGTACACAATTTTATTTGGGGGCCAGCTGAGGACCACCTCCGGGTGTGGGATTTTCTCGCTGCGTTGAAGACCCATTGGTGGCCTTCGGCCGTTCATTGGCGGGTTGTTGTCTCTTTGACATATTCCCCATTTCCATTCTCAATTTCATTTTAAATATAGTACCTAAAAAAAATCTCTGGGCAGTGGTATTAGTCAGGTTTCAATTTTTAACAAGTGACTGAGCTTACCTATTTGTGCTGATTTGAAGAGCAGAGGACCATAGAATAAAGGTGTACATATAATGTGATTATTAAATGAAGCAAAGCACTAACTCGTCAACGAACTTATTGTGTAAAAAAGGGATTATTTACCTCGACAAGCCGCTTATGATAAATAACTTGGAAATTACCCCGAAAATTGAACCACATATTCTAATAGACATTATAGCAATTTTTAAAGTTAAAGAAAAGCGGAAAAGATACAAAGGAGACAATGATATAACGTGTGTCGTACAATAACAGACACCAGTATGACCATAAGAAAACAAATGAACAGAAACAACAGTAGGTCATAGGGCTGAAATCATTATAATATTCTCGTTATTTAATATGCTGGTTAACTAATATAAGATAGATATTTGTATATTTACACAATGGATACTTAAATATTTGCTGTATAATCTGTATATGTGCTTATTGATTGTTTTAAATGGTACGTGCATTTTACGAAATTTTAAAAGTGGGCTTATTAATTTTTTAATAAACGACCATTCTTTTCTTCATGACAAACACCACAGGGCTGATGCCTGAGACGCCAAATATATATATGTATATATATAAAATACAATATGGAAAAAAATTTACAGAAGCACTATGGGTTCTTTAGCCTAGTTACAATTTGGATGGATCGTAGTATGATACACACATTTTTAGTCAATTTGTTTGTATTTTTATTACAATAGAAAACAAATCTTCTTGTACATTGTGGTACATTTTTTCATTTCATTGTTGTTTTTTTTTTCTTCTCTATTTTATCAGTATCTTATGAATATGTCGGCTGCTATGTAGATGACAAAGACAGAGTATTAGGTGAATATCACGATTATCGCGAATATACATGGTCAACATTGTCAATGTCGGCAGAGATTTGTTTTGAAAAGTGTACTGAGAATTGGAGAGAGGATGACTATTTTGGAACACAGGTATACAATTTGTATTGAACATCATTTTTTACTGTTTAATGCTTTAGAAAATTGTCTATCTAAACCCATTAGTATGTTACTAAGCAGTTCGTTTATTGAACGATAGCGACAATTTAAATTTACAACAATACTGCAAGTCATTTATTGCATGTAAATGCAACCATTTCCCTTATTTCATGTTTATTGGTACATACTGATTATTTTCCAGTCTTCTAATCTATACTCTACCAGCGCATTTTTATGGAGGAAATATTTGTATGTAAAGGAGCAACGTGAATTAGTAAAATCGTAAAATAATCACTGATACTGTAGACTAATTTATTGCCTTCCATGAGCTTTCATATGAGATTATTATAATAAAATATGTTGCTGATTGATTTCTTTCCTTTGTTTCATGTTTAAAAGCAAACATTGTATATAGAACAAATGCAGAAGTTTTGCCTTGTAACACGTAACATACTATTCACAAGAAGTAGGCATTCCAACTAAATTTTGATAGATTAGACAAGGAATTGTATCTGCTTTAAATGATTGTAAAAAGTCAGATGTACATAAAATTAAGCGTTGTTACTATATAAAGTAATGTGAACAGCTATGACAATTAAAAAATCTGAGGTCTATCGATGGGCCTCAATTTTCAATTGTAGGTGGTTCAAAACACCAAGGCTAAATAAAATGTTTAAACGCCTTTTATAACATGTTATGTCCCTATCAAATACTTTTTAAAGCATTAAAACTGTATAAAGTAGTTTGAGTAGCTTTGACAATTTGAAAATTTGAGATCTATATGGAGGTTTAATTTTCCATGGTAGGGAATTCAAAATACGATGGCTAAGTAAATATGTTTAAACATCTTTTCTTACAAGTTCTATCCCTACCAAAACGTTATTTATGTATTTTTACTGTAGAACATAGTTTGAATCACTATGACAATTTTAAAAATTGAGGTCTAAAGGAGGGGTTACATTTTGCATGGTACGGGGTTCAAAATAATATGGCTCCATTATTAGGTAAATATTTTATTTCATGATTGCGTTTAAACTATATAAACTAGTTTAAATGCTACCATACGTATCTTGGATGAAAATAGTATTTTTGAAAAGATTTTATAACAATTTTAAGGCATAGTATTTTACCTCCCCCCTTACCATGGAATATTAAATCGCAAATCAGATTTTAGAATGTTAATTTATAATAGCAATTTAACTACTGAATTATACCATTACAATATATTCAAATTAGTACCTTAAATGCATAATGTTCAATTTTCAATAGGGTTTTAATTTTCTATACAACGGGGTTAAATTTTCGATTCCGGTTTCAATTTTCAATGGGGTTCAAAATATCATATGACACCGGTTTGGACATAGTCCCAACCCAGCCCATAGTATGGTGATACTGGGCGAGCGGCGTGCGGGCGGGGAAAGTGGGCACTTTATTTGTGTAATCAACTACATTTTTAAGTCGAAAATTTTTCATGTTTCTTTGCACTACATCCGTTGTAGCCAAGAATATTATTTTTGGAATTTATATAAAAAATAGATAGATGTGGTACAGATGGGTGCAGTCCTAACCTGTACAAAAATTAACTTTAGAAAATTTAAGCAAACCTGCAATTTAACAGTATCCTTATCAGACTGTTGCAGACCAAACCTGTGTACAGGTCAGCTTGAACAGACCAGACCTGTGAACAGGTCAGCTTGACAAGACCAAACCTGTGAACAGGTCTGCTTTTAACTTTTCCTGTGGACATGTATGCTATTTGACAGACCAGTCATGTCAGTTATGGGAATAAGCCTGCTTATTAATCGGTCCTATGTTTTCACTGATCGGAAGTCGACACTAAAATGATGTTCATCAATCAAAGAGGTCATGTTTACTAGTTTACTTTGGATCATGTTAACTTTATCTTGGGTCAGACCAGACTAATGTTAATTTTTATTAGAGCATTATTGGATCTGTCATAAGTCAACTTTTCGGGCAGTCTTAAAAACTATCATACTACCAAATCTGCTTGTTAAGTTAACAAGAATTATGTCCTAGGACAGGTTGGAGCAGTCATAAATCCTGTCCCAAGTTATCTTTCACCAGTCATAAAGTCTGATCATCAAGATAAGTAGCTGTACAGGTTAGGACTGCACCCATCTGTAGGATTGCCAAAGGTACAACTATCCACTTGAGTTCAAATGACATGGATGTAAGCAATCATATGTTATCGTACGGCCTTCACCAATGAGATAAGTCCATATTTAAGCTTGAATCAACTTACCAAATGTATATGGCAACAAAAAATAAGTTTTTAAAAAGGTAAATGAGTTTTCATGTATATGTACACATTGTATATACAAGCTTGAAGAGTTGTGCAACGTTACATTTGAAGGTTATATACGAATAATATGAAATAATATCGTTTTGAAAGACAAATATTTGGATCAATACATGGCCTTCCACTTAGTCGGTCGGTTTTAAAATGACATACAAAAAATATATAATTAATTGTTTATCTTTAATTATTGTATTTATTTTTTTTGCAGTATGAATATCAGTGTTTTTGTGGGAACGGTAACAAATTGGGATCTGCGCCATATATTAACAAAAAAGAATCTGAATGTGACATGACATGTAAACAAAACCCAAATGAAAAATGCGGTGGTAAATGGAGGAATTCTGTTTATAGAATAATAATAAAGCGTAAGTTTTCAAGCAATGGTGTATCACTCTGGTCTTGAACATAATATCAGATAGTCTAATTGCATATTCTTGACCTACTTAAAATTTGTAAATTCGAAGGATTCTAGGTGAACGTTTAATCGTTACTAAAATTTTGCATATAAATTGTGAAATATAAGGAGCAGATTAAAAATGGCTGAATTTTGCCGTAGAGAACCACTGACGTTCGGTAGGAAACCGGACATACCTATTCTATTAAGATTTAAGTCGAACGCACAACCTCAGTGTTGACAGGCTAGTAATACAGTAGTTGAAATTAAACGATATAAATTGTTTTTTTTTTTTTGTTTCTGCGACCGTGTTGACTAGCAGGAGAAGTGGACTACCACTTGAGAAATCCAACATAATCTAACCTAACACAGGCCTACACATAATGTGTCGGGGGGGATTCTATATGTAATCATGTTGCTTTGCCATATACATTTTACAAGGAAACAAAAGATGATACATTTCATTTCTGAGAAAGTGAATTTCAAAATAAAGGTCGCATGCTAAACCATTACACATTTCTTTTAAAAGTATTTTTATCTGTTTTAGGGGAGTTTAAATATGAATTTTTAAACATTGAACAAGAACATACAATCAATGATTGTAAAACTAGTCAGCTAAAGGAGGACAGTTTGTGTATAACATTGGACACTTCTTATAAAAAGCAGGATGTTGACTACATCTGTAACGATATCGGAAACAATTTGCATAAATTTTGCAAAACAGAACATCCTAATGAAAACTGTGTCTTTAATTTGTTCAACATACTTGAGGAAGCAGATGAATGGCAACCAAGTAAGGCAATCTCAATAGAGTATGTGTGCAAAGGTGAGGATTACATAAAATTAGGCTATAAGATAATAAGTATTTTTTTTCAGTTTCCAATGGTCAGGAGTGTAATTTCAGATTGCTTTAAGTGATAATAGTAAGTATAACACAAGTAATGAATATTATTGTAAGCAGAGTCGATAACTGTTTTTTCATTGGGTACAAGGTTACCTAAAATATACATTATTTTTAGCATACATCATGTATGGTGAGGACTGTGACTGTTGTCATAGATGATCACGGATATGATCCACTAGTTATCACAATCCTCTCTTCTTTTCATCATGGTCGACATCACCAAACGCGATTTGTCATTGACTTTCCACTTGTCATGAACAACCTGACAGGTGCAGTTTTGGGGATAGGAGCTGCTTACCCTTTCGGAGCACAGGAGTACATCCCTGTTTGTTTACTTTTTTATGTGTGTTTCTGTATATTGTTTAATAGATTTTTGTTTGTCTTTTTGTCTTTAAAGTGGCTTTTATGTTCTTTGTCTTTTGTGAATTAATGGTTGGAATTATAGTTCTACTATAGATATTGTTTTGTATATGGGCGTGTGACCTCTTTACTTTTTTCTGCGTACATGTGTGCTTCAAATGGTCATACTTATGTGTACAATTCCATTTCGTCAAATTTACTGGCATAATTTGAATAGCTTGCATATATATCAATGAAAAAAACCAAGATCAACAAAAACAATGCATTATCAAGATTAGATTTCAAATTTAAAAAATTTAAGAATAGAATAGATAAACTTTTTGCCTCACAGGGAAAAAATATAATTTGTCACTGAGCTGCCTTAAATAAAATGTATTTTCAAAGATAGGCGTCGCTTAAATGTTTCCGTGTATAATTGTGTATTATGATTCTGATGAACGATCGTTTTAACTAATATATTTTATAGATGATCTCATTTTTTTCTGCTAAAATAAAAATACTCCTCCATGGTTTGAACAATCATCTTACTACAGGCGATATGATTTTAAACGACTAGAGTGACCGTAAATATTATGAAGATTACCCATGTACCAAATAGTATTAACTATCATCTTAACATTCTTTGCTGTTTATTGAAACTCTTACCGGATAAAAGCACAGTACGCATAATTATTATTACATATTAGAATATTGTCCTTCCCGAGTGGCTATGCAAATTGATTGTTAGAAGCATACAACTGTCCGTTTGAAATCATAAGTGTAGGAACAAACTGACCAAAATGAAATGAAATGTCTACTATTACGTGGTGAAGTATATCCAAATATTCATGCGTTACCTGTTTTCCGATTCCAATGTCGTACAGTTATGATCAATTATAACTTCTCTTAAATCTATTCACAATGAACTGTGAACAATTTTAGAAAGTCTCCGGAACAGTCCTTGTCATTGTTGTTGGTTTTTTCTAATAGAAACGGTTTTCAGCACATATAAAAAAAACACGTGTGGCTGCTTATTCAATGTAAACGGAATTTTTTCAGACAGAATGAATGTATGCACAGTTTAATAAAGATCTAATTTTCTCTTGTATTTTCAGAAAATCATCAAGCAAGCAGTTCAACACCGAGTAGCTCTGTAAATTTACCAACAAGTTCGTACAAGATACAGATATAAGATAGAATTTTAAATCTTGAATTGGTTTTATTTTAACTTGCAAGAAGGATTTTACAAAATGCAAATGTAACATATCTGATTATATAACTTGCTTTGAGAATTTCAATTAATTTCCCAATACTTTTTTTAAAAATCTATAAGTTCAACTAAATATGTAAACATTTATACAGAGATCTTGCTGGATACATACATTATTGAAGAGACTGAAATCGTTCTTTCTAGCATAAGAATAAACTGTAAAACTCATTTAGAAAGGACTTGATTACTCATATGGGTAAATAAAGGCAACAGTAGTATACCGCTGTTCAATAGTCATAAATCGATTAAGCAAAATCGAATCCGGGCCATAAACCAAAACCGAGGAAAACAACAGAAACACTGAACTACAACAAAAACAAACGCCAACATACATAGAAACGGACTATTTGATAACAACTGCCATATTCCTGACTTGGTACAGGACATTTTAAGAAAAAAATGGTGGGTTGAACCTGGTTTTATGGCTAGCAAAACCTCCCTCTTATATGGCAATGTTAAATATACCGCTAAAATGACAACATTACGTGACAGGAATACAGTACAAACACGTAAACAAATAACAAAATAATAAAGAGACACAAAATACCGCTTTTTGAGTAATCGCAGTTACTAAACGTTAGTTCAAAGCCCAATTTCAACTAAAAAATACACCATGTTTTCCAAGACTAAAATATCAATCAGTACATCTCCAACAGATTCAATTTAAAGACTTAATAAGTAGTCTGAGAAAAGCATGTTCATATGTGATGTCAAAATATAAGTATCGACATGACGTAGGACCTAAAGTGTTAATTAGTTGATAGCGGTACATGCTTAGTTATGCATAAAACTATCAGAAATACAATCTATGTTAGTAATTATTCAGGCAAAACTCAAAGATTTCACAACAATCTAATATTGATGACCTCCAACAATAAGTTTATTTAAGGGTATAAGATGGCATATATCGTATCTTGAATAACCAGATCTATAAACAACATCACTTTAAATTAGGATGTAACCGTTGTTACAAGATTGCTACAGGTAAAGCTTAACTTCAAAACTGAATTTGCGTATCTGTGAAAGAACAAGGTAAAATGTATTGTAGTTCGTGGTAACGAAATCCTGTTTAAAGCATTTACCAGTTATGCATAGATTCAGATACGTTGATTAAAACGTAAAACTTCACTAAAGACACGTTCATGCATATCCTGAATAAGGGTTTGTAAGGTTCAAAGTACCATCATAAAGACATAATGTATCGTTTACAATACAATCAGTTTTGTCTTCTTCTATATTTTAAAACTGCATTTTGTTTCTAAGACAAAAGGAATTCATTTTGCAATACACTATTTTGTTCCTTTATACGATTACTCCTATTCCATCGATACATAGCAAAATTGAAACTGATCTTGCAATTCTTTAATTCTGAAATATTATTCCACTCATATCTCACATTCTTATACAGGTATTCATTATATATCTTTTATTTTTTACTTACTGTTTCAGGTACGTTAGATTATACACGCGTATCAAAAATGTCAGGACAAACATCCAAGGACACCACAGATACAGGTTAATATAGCTAGAACGTAAATTGATTGTGAAAATATATGAATGTTTTTACTACCATTCAATGTCATTTAACTCTTATACCAGTGTATACAGAATCCAATTCTACAGGTATTTCATAAATATGGCAAGTTTCAATCCAAAGTTAAAAAAATATACCAAGGGACAACCAAAATCCATAGGTCGAAGAAAAGTACACAACCTACTCGTAGGAAAATTTTAAAAAGTTGATAAGAAAAGTAACAGTTCACAAAACTCTACATAAAAAGGTCCGAATTAAGAATTGGACAAAGAAAAACCTATGGTTCATAAAAATAGAAGAGTGCATGCCATGAGTTAATTTCTGAATTATCACAAAAGGTATATAGTTAATGATAAATTTAGAATTTACCATCCAAGATATGCCATCAATATTAGATTCCTTGAAATCCAGAATATATACAAATTATGATATCACTAATGTCAACAATAATTTCGTTTTTAAAAATCACTTGCTTATAAAATAACCGTATAGAAGAACAACAACAACGCCGATCAAAGTAAACAAAATATTATTGATAATGAAACACGAAGTTCTTTTGAATGTACCTGCTGATACACAAATCATACCAGCCTACGATCTAATATTGACAATTATAATTCGCCGATTCAAATTCAAATTCCAAAACTGAAATTTCCTTAACAGTGCATGAGTGTTTGTGATGTCAAAAGTAAATGCGTTCAATCCAAGGTTATGTAGGGGTCCCGGAAAGCTCAATCTTAAGTTATTGAAATAGTGTTCCGCGAACTATTGATATTTTGTTTGTTTGGGGTTTTCTTTTTTTTTTTTTGTGGGGGTTGCTATGTTGCTTCCCACCTTTCTTCTACTTAAGAATTATAGGATTAAAATAAATTATTTCAGCCTTTCTTTTCATATTAAAAAAGGATGCACAATAGATGGAGTATAACAAATCCTGATGAAGTCTTAGAAAACTCAATTAAATTGATTATGTTATAACGTATATCTATATATCTAAACGCTGTTCATGGTTATGATAATTCACTTTGTACACTTAGTCTAATCTTTCACATAATTTGATAGAAAATAACTCTGAAAAATATTTAGATAGGCAGAAGAGACATACAACTATTGTTTTTGACACATATATGATAAAGGCTGCCTTGCTAACAATATTTTTGTTATGACAAAATCTTATTTCATAAAATTATCACAATTGACTACTCATATTTAATTGCGCACTTTTAATTGTAGAATTCTTTTCTTAACTATTATGAATCCTAGTTTTATAGCTGATTTTTCTACAAAAAAATACTCATTCGCAGAGGACTGTATAAAGTGGCATATTTACAAAATATATGTAACACTCTCAAACGTGTTTATGCCTCAAGCGTGTTCGCCTTGCCATTTACATAACAAATCGTCCAAATATCTGGTGAAACATCTATGAATGAGGACACTTACAAGCCTAATAAAGGGGATTTGGTTGACTATTGCACAAACCCGTATTTTAACAAACGTCTCAATTTTTTTGGTTTTAAGTGGTTTTCTATTTTATTTGACCTTCCAACTGTTTTGATGCTAGCGCAACAGATGAATCTTGCCGGGCTTTGGCTATACTTTTAGTCCTTTTTGGTTTATGAGCTCTTCATTTTTTTAAATAAGTTTTGAATTTTCAAATATTTTAGCCTCGAGTATCACGGAAGAGACATTTATTGTCGAAATGCGTATCTGGTGCAGAAAAATTGGTACCGTTAGTGTTATTATGTAGTTGATATGCGCGCATGGTGTAAGTTAGAAGTTTTGTATCTTTCATCAGTTTTTACAACCACTGGGTCGATGCCACTGCTGATGGACGTTTCGTCCCATAGGGTATCACCAGCCAAGTAGTCATCACTTTTGTGTTAACATGAAATATAATTAATATGTTCATTTACTGTTAATTTATTGTTATAAATATTTAATTGTTCGAAACACTTAGGTTTTTCTACTCCCAGGTTAATTTTTCCTTATGCGTATTTTGAAAAACTTTTCTAAATTTTTGGTTTTTAATGCACATTAAACAATGAAAACAACGATTTATCAATACCATGCGTCCGATGCGTTTAACTTTGTTTTGATTTGTCCTCCTGACTGTTTTTATTTTGGGACCAATGATTAGTCTCATGTAGCTATAAACCAAACGCGCGTCTGGCGTATCTGATCGAAAGCCTGGTATCTTTCATAATTTTTTACAACCACTGCTGGTTGACGTTTCGTCCCAGCTGGAATTATTACCTTACCAATAAGTAATTGTTCTTTTACAATTCCGACATGCTAAGACAAGACATTAGATGATTTATTGGATTTTGTGTTTTAATTGTTTTACCAAATAATTAATGGAATATATATATATATATTAATTTCTGTCGCAAACCTAGATACTTTAAATGTTTTAGGTTGAATAAAATGAAAACCATTGTAGAAAATGCACATTACAGATGTAAACTTGTAGTAAAAATATTAGTACACTAAATAAGCAATACAGTCAAGACATTAAATATATCAAAGATAACATATAATTTTTTTTCAGGAACAGTTATTGGTATTGTAGTGGGCAGCGTCCTATTTTTATGTATAGTCTTTGTTGGTATTTGCATAAGAAGAAGGTAAATTGAATATATATTAAAAACGTTTGATTGTAACAACGAATAAATATATTCTGAAAATAAAACATTGCATTTGTTTTGTGAATGTTACATTGATCAATTAAATGTTAATTGCTATTTTATCGATTTTATTTTGACATTTTGACTGAGTGTGTATTTGCGTTGCGGGTGATGCATGCATACCAGAAGACGCTTTCCCTGTCTGCTCACCCGGTCTCGCACCTTTAGAGTTTATGCGATTCTCTCAGCTTTTGTCTCGCCTGCGACGAAAGTCGCGGAAAGCGAGACATAGGGATTGCTTTACCGGCTCCGGCGACGACGGCGTCAACAATTGTTAAGTTTTCTGCTTAAGTTAGTTGATAGGAACTACTTAATTGTGATAGATCATTGATACTTAATATAAAGTTGCACTTACTATCAGTACATATCAGTTTGACAACTTTTTTTTCAGTAAACTACTGTTGCCTTAATGATATATTGTGTCTGGGAGCAATGTTAACGTTTCATTTCTAGCGGTGAAGATGAAAAGAAAACATTACGTCAAAAAAATTACTTTAGTAAGAATTATTTGGTTTGGTTAATTCTATCAAAGTGTTTGATTTTTTCTATTATTATTAATTTTATTGATTGGTAATACATATAAAAGCATACACTTTTGCTTTTATTATAGGTCTGTGTTTTGCACTAAATCCAAAGAAAAGTTCAGAAACAACCCGGAAACGAATGACTACATTGGGAACCAAGACATAGCATTGCCACAGGCCGTAAGTCCTGCGCGTCATTTGCAATATGAAGATTTAAATGCTCAATCGGGAAATAGAAGTACTCACAAATATTCAAGCACAAATATTCATTTACAAAATATCGATGATAAATTTGATTACGCCAAGAACATAGTAACAAAAAGCTCTAAAACATCTAACGACAAGACGAGTACACCTACATATGTTGTGCTTCAGGATGATAGTTATAAATGCAATTCGGAAGCAAATAGCGATGAATATGCCGTTGTTGATCCTACAGCTGAATTAAGTTTTAAACAAACACCAAAAGCAACAACCCAAGGACCAGAAAATTATATGATTTTAGATCCAAATCAGACTGGCTTTAATAGGTCCAAATTTCCAAATGCTGACCAAGCTTACGAGCTTGCAAAACCTATCCATGATACAAAGGACCAGAAGAATGATCTGTATGTTCTGTCTCCAGAGGGTACCTACGACCATTCGGGAATTACTCGTCATCACAAAGATCAAGATACCATTTATAACCACGCCGTCGACAATGTTTATGATTCTGCAAATCGAGGGTTGAATATTGCCAGGACAGAAGACACATATGATCATTTCTTTGGACAGGAAACCGAGGATGAATATAATATTTCTATGCATTAATAATTTGGGTTACCACTCTCAAGAGTTGAATTGGGAGTGTTTAATTACATTCAAAAACATAAAATGTTCATGTTGGTTGACTCTTTTTTTATCCTGAAGCTTACATCTAAATTATTAATAAAGTGCTTTTTAATACAATTGTCAGTTATGTAGTATGTCTGTGATGTACGTGTATGTTAACAAAGTTTTGAATGCTGGATCCTAATTATTGTCACATTAACCAATTATGAGGCATTCCAAATTCAAACTGTATTCAAACTGTATTTCGCAATAAAGTTTAATATTCAAAACTGCAAGTGTTTCCAATGACAACGTCACTACAACTCTAAAATCTCGATATAACTCGTAATTTCATAGTTGTGGCATATAAATGTAATTATAAGAATTGCCTGTTTCTTTTTGAAATTTTACAAGGTTGCCAAAGAGTTGATCGTGAGCACATGTTACCCCAATAAAATTACAAAAGAAGCATTCGATTCTAAATAATAATCTCAGATCTTAATATATAATTTATAATGATATGTTTATGTATTGCTTTGTTAAATGATAATAAGAAATATCATTATGATCTTTCATAATAAAATGTTATAGAATGTATTTTGTACCTTTATAATTGTATTACATTTTTGTTACATTTTTTTAAACAAACGGAAATTATATCATTATGGTTTCATTATAAAGTGCCATTAAAAATGAAAGTTAATAATTGATGCATCCAAACGACAATATAATAAATCATTCACTGCATATTTTTCATGTCTTTTATTTGTTTGTCTTATGATTCAGTTTTCATCTAATCATGGGGAATAGTTAATGACTGATATTTTTTTAACATGACAGTTATATTGCATGTTATGTGTTTCAAATCATAAAATTTAAATTTCAAAACATGTGAAATTTCAAGACTTTTTGATACCCTAGTACTGCCAGTTCTCATCTCCGGCTGTGAGGTGTAATTTTTGAAAACACGTACATTTTAAAAAAGATACACTTACAGTTTTGTAGAAATACCCTAGGTGTTTGAACAACAACTCTAAATTAAATGATTTAATAGTATGTTGAGCTTGGTCGATGTCCGATCGATATCATAATTAAACTTTGAATAGTTAATTTTTGGAACTGAATTATTTGCAATAATCGTAAACTTTCTTCCAATTTGTACTCTACAATGTTAGAATTGAACGAATCCGGGTTGAATAAATTTAAATGGATTGAACATGTTTAATCTATATTCGACAATACTGGATTTAGCTTTATATGGAATCTTCAGTCGGAGATGGATCCAATTCAGATAAAAACGAATATTAAGCAAAGATTAACAGATGAATTCATCCAACAATGGCACAGTCAAATTAAAAAACCCATCCAGGGGGGAATATTATGGTCTTTTCAAAATCGACTCTGGCTTAGAAAAATATTTAGTAAGACTCTCATTTGCAGATCGTAAAAATATTACTAAACTGCGATGCTGCAACCTTAACATACCAATAGAAATAGGAAGATGGAATTGAATTCCTAGAGATTAAAGACAGTGTCATCTCTGCTCCTTGTCAATTGGAAATGAATTTAACGATCTATTTGAGTGTCAGTCTGTTATTGTTAAAAATATAAGAAATAAGCATATTTCAGAATATTACCACAGGTATCCATGTGTTGAGAAAATGAAAGGGCTGCTTTCATTTTGCAATATTAAAATTATGAAGAACTTATCACTTTTCATTAACAAATTAGTTAAAATATTGCAATTGTACTGTCTTGAATATATATATGATTATGTTAACATTATTCTGTAGCAACCATAAAAATATGATTATGTATTTTGCCTCTTGTTGTACATGTATATGTGTCCGAGTGTTTCAAAATAAAGTATTGTTGTTATAAAAAAAAAGAAACTGGGTTTAAAAGTCGCCCATCAAACCTACATGTACTTTAAAATATATATGCCGTATTTTAAAGGGGTATTACTTACTTAATTCATAACAACCGAATTGACTCGAACTCTCACATTGACAAATATCGTACTGAAACGTATATCTTAATTAAAAGAATTCAATACGATACAAAATACAATGCATGAAATCTTTAAAAAAAAATTGTTGGACAACACGCCACCGAATTAACCATCATGACCTCCAATATCAACGAAAATTTTGTGAATCCGCAGTGGCGGATCCAGAACTTTTCATAAGGGGGGCGGTGACTGACCTAAGGGGGGCCCGCTCCAGTCATGCTTCAGTGATTCTCTATATAATCAACCAAATGTTTCCCACAAAATGGGGGCCCAGCCCCCCCCCCCCCCCCCCCCCCCCTGGATCCGCCTATGATCCGATATAAATAAAAAAGATAAAAATAAGCAGATAACATTAATAGCACGTGTCATAGTAACTATAATGACGATTTTCTGTTTTATTTCATACCATAGTTAAAAAATAGAAAGGTACATTATCGTTTTATTTGTAACCTGGATAGAATGATATTTAGTGTCGAAATCGGCCTTACTAACAGGCACTTGTCTCTGAAAAAAAACTATATACCGTAATATACTTCTACAGATTTTGTGTTGTTTCCTTCCTTCGTAAGTATAATATAAACAACAAACAAATTGAAATTTGATATTTGGCTTATTATTTGGCATGGCGTTTTTTCAACAATATTCAACAATATTAAACCAAAAAACAACTAATATCAACAAACTGGCCAAAAAATTAAAAAAATTATCACTGAACGGAAAAACAACAGTGAATGTAAAACAATTTCTAGCTGCTGGGCAGATCCATAACAGCTCAATGAACAATATTGGAATAAATTACTGCCAATTGAATCATGTTGATGTTGACATCCAACGCACTTTCTATATTGAACTGAATGCCATAACGATAGACATATTTTTCTTTGTCTCTTGCTGCAAACTCCTTGAATTTTCGGTTTCCATTGCATCTGCCAATGAATGTTCAAATAATGACATTAATGGTGATATATGACAATCTAAATGGTACATTCAATACATCTGGATCTGTACACCATGCAATCTGAAAAATAAACTAGAACAGCAACATTTTTTGTATTATAGGGAGGGAGGGTGGGTTTTAATGTCTTGTTGAAAATTTGTCATGGAATGAAAATTGAGCGGGAACAATTGTTTATATATGACAAAAGTCAACGAGGCGCTTCAAAGCATATTCTTTCGTTTGTTTAGATATAAGGTTACGTAAATAATAGACTATATTCAAAACGCAATAAACAAATAAAAGTATTTGTAATGCAATAAATCATTTTAATTTGTGGATCATTAAATTTTATTATTGTCTTCCAGTCAATTATGTATAAGTTTTGGGGTTTATTGTGAAACATAAAAACCCAAACTGAATGCTAATACCAAATTATTATACAATTCCATATTCTAATAAAAATAGAAATATTTGGAGGGTCAAGAACCGAAAATTTGCTTTATCCTCACCAAATGTTTATGAGCCTGTTCCAAACCTTAAAGCGAGTCAGTAGTTGTCGAATGTCATAGCTTAATCAATTTTTATTTTCGTCATTTATAGCACTAGCACTCGGTGTTTATGGCATATGTTTGACTGTTTGTGTTGAATTTATTCACAACAATAATTTATAGACTCGAGACGATTCAGAGCTTGATATATTAAAAGGCAACGTGTATATTTTTGAAAAATTGCATCTTGCCCTCTAGATGTCGTTGTTTGATTTTTTTCTCTTGTTGGGTTCCTGTCTCATTGACAGATACCCCACATCTCCTTTTTTCAAAGTACAAAGTAAAAACGTTGTTCATATTTGGTGTTTAAACAGCAGTCCACATAGCTTATTTATGACAGAACATCAAGTGTCGTGTCGGGTTGGGTACACACGTGGTTATCTAGTAATCAAAAGTGTTCGAAAAAGGCCGAAATGTAGGAAAGGTTTTTTTCTAATTTCCTGCGCATTGTGTCTTTTGTACAGGGTATCGGATTTGGGTTTCTCCCGAAAGAGTACGGATTGTATTTTTGATATCATGGTTTCGCCGTCTTATTGTCATCTATTCCTTGAGCGTCATCATTTGAGGGAAATAACTCATTCTAAGTTTGAAAGCTGGCCTGTATGATTTCTGTATAATCGCTGGTGTACGCTGATGTTTTTGAGAATGCATGTTGCTCTTTCTGATGTAGCATGCTTTTGATATATTCTTTTCCCATGCTACTTTAGTTTTCTTACGAGTATCTCAAAACTATTTGGTACCTCTGCTACCCTGCTAAACTATCGACAACGTGATCTATCACCCGCTAAAAATATTATCAAGGGAGGACGTATGTTCAGAGCCATCTTTTGGTCCAAAAATATTTTTAGATAGTAAACTTACTTAAGCCTTTCAAAATTATTTTAGTTTTATTGATACATGAATATTTGATGTCATATTGAAATTGACGTATTTGACCTTAGATTGACATTTTACAGCTTTTGAATAAAATATATATGAGCTAATGCCTTGGAGGTTTTTACACACCATAACATCTTTATGAAATACATTTCGTAGATAAATACCTTTTTGGGCTAAGAAGTTTGATATCTAAAACATATTGACAAGATTTCAATATGAGGCTACTTTTGGCAGTTTTGCACTAAAACGTTTGCGCTAATGAAAATATGTAAGACAAAATTCAAAAAATATATAGGAGTATTCAAGGGGCTCGAATAGTGGCCTTTACATCATATCTTCTCCTTTTAAGTGCTAAAATATTATCAAAGAATCACAGAATACTAGCGTGATCTGTGACAGAAGTAAAATGTCACTGCTATAAGTTGCTTTACTAAACCAAGACACTGAAACATTATTTCAAGTTGAAAATTGCTACGAAATGCATGTATGCATGATTTTAATGAAATGATGGGGAAATTGTGTTACCCTATTTACTATAAGTAGATAAAAAATAATTATTTCCCTAGTTAGATTAAAATTTAATTTGAATTAAAGTTAGATCTTATCAACATTTGCACTTTTAAAAGATGAATAAAACGTTCTTAAAGTGCATTATAAGGATGTAAAAACAGATTATCCAAGCATGTCAGTTTATAACTTAGGCATTCAATCGCAACTTAAAATAACGTACTTCATTCTGAATTATAGAAAACTATACAGATTATACAAA